TTTGGTCAGCGGCTGGTCAACCTACCTATGCGAACGCGGGGCACTGTGCGCGATCACGTACCTGGGGGAAATTATTCACTACAATCACAGGTGTATAGACGCGAACGCATAACATATTTTCTGGGCAGATTTAGGGTAAAAATGGAATTTCATGTCTGTGTTCCCCAAGCCATTTAAGACACGACCAAGCCTATTGGGAAAAGATCTTTGGCTTATTTTTCAGTCTCAAACACTAGAGAGAACAAGGTTGGAAGCTAGGGTTTGCACACACACTTTGGTCTTGAAGATTTGAAGCTTTTAGTTGAGAATTTCTTACTCATTTATGTTCATTTCTTCACTTCCTTGCTTTGTATTGAATATCTAAGAGTGTAGTATTTATTCCAATACTTGAATCTTGTTTATAGAAATATTCATAATTAAAGTGTGGATTAAATACCTTGTTGTGCATATGTATTGAATGATTTTTCATCTTTTATGAAGCGAGTTATTGTTTCTTTAATTATTATTGTTCTTTAATGTTTCCAAAGGGATTAGCTAACTCTAGGACTCACTCATTAACTCCAAATTAATTTTGGGAAAGATTATTTTGGGTTGGGAAAGATTAATTAACAAGAACTTGAGGCTTTAACCCTCATTTTATAGATTCTACCTAGAGATAGGATTGAACTACTTGTAGCCATATCTGGGTATGCTTAATCTCTTAATTGTTTTAGGGATAATTCAATTGGAAAGTCTTGTTAGTATTTGGAAGAAGCTAATATAGAATTATTACCCGTGGCTAATTAACATAAACTCACTCATATTTGTAAAATCATGAAATACATTGGATCGTTACTTGAGTGTGATTCCCGATGCATCCATACTTGTAACCATTGATCATTTTACTTGATTTCTAGGTTATTTTACATTTCCGCATTTAGGTATAAACATTTTCTAAAACAAATTCTAAGTGTTTGGCATTGCATAACAAGTAATAATTCTCTTACATTCCTAATCGCCTACATATTGTTCTCTGTGGGATTCGACCCCGACTCATAGTTGGGTCAATTATTTTGCATGCGACCGTATCCATTTATTTTTAGTGGTGGATTTGGACGTCATCAAGCATCTCGAATATCACTTGGAGGCTGACTCCCCCTTCTTCCACTTCTGGCGTTCCTTGGTCCCCTGGTCGGGCTTCCCTGTGTGCATTCCTTACGGGGTCGGTGCCTGCGTCCGTGTTTAGAGCGTTATGTGAACTGATATCAACTGGCTCCATATTTGGAACTCCCTCGGGATTTATGGGTGGTACACCAACACATATACCGTTGTTTTCTCCGAGTCCCTCACTGTCATGGGCAGGTGCGGTTTGTGTGCTAGACATATCATAGCCTGAAATCAAAGAATCTTTGACAAGAAAAAGTGTGAATAATAATGTGTGTTATTGTAAAACTAGTACTAAAATAATCACTATTATCTTTAGCCTTGCGATTGGCGCCAAACTATTTATTTCGAAAAATGTGAGTAACAATTAAAGATAATTTGTGGTTTTAAAGATATGTAACTTATTCTAATACTAGTAAATATACAAGTAATATTAGGTTTAAGTAAGAAGAATTGATGAACCAAACCAGTATTGCTGGAGCAGCGGGGACCTCGAGCTCGATAATCTCGAGGGCCTTGAGGTGAGCTAAGAACCAATAAACTATGAACGATAAAGTAAAAATAATAAAACTGAAGAACAATTATTGAGCACGGTAAACAAGAAAAGCATAGTAGAATATTCTATTGCAGTGAATGAGATCTCTTTTACAAAGATTGGGGTCCCCTTTATATAGAAGGGGAAAACCCTAATATGGTACATTTTCAATTATGGTAAAGAATTTTATTGGTACAGTTGTATAACAACCTAGTACGAACTTGTACTATTTCGTACAAATCTTATCCCTTAAGTTATACCCTAACCCACATGTTTGGGGAATTTCCGCTCTTTCTTGAGTGCCATCTAAAATGTAATGCCCTCGAGGTAGATCATGGCGGGTCTTCGATTTGCTCCCCCGAGGTATGCATTTTCCAGTCAGATTTGGTCTTTACTTCGTGCTACCCCGAACTCGAGCCCGGGGTTCTGTTCAGCCCTCGAGATTGAGCTCTCTGATCTTGACCGTATACAATTACAAAAAATAAAAAAGTAACTTTTGTGTTACAAACTATAAGTTTAGTGACTACAAGTAATTTTCGGGTTTTGACCCTACATAAGAGGGTTTTCCACCAAATACCACACATTTTCCACTTTGTTTTGAGAGAAAATTTGCCCACACGAATTTTATAAATTTCCAATATTATTCAGGTAACACAACAGAAGACCGTGGAACTATTGGGATATATGGTGGAGATGCTGCAACAACTGCTGGCTAATTCGCTTGAAGTGGAGGGGAACTTCATCGACGAGTGGTGTTCCCGCTTCAAGTATCCGTAAAACCCCGTATGTGCTAGTTGTTTATAATACAAGTAATTTCAACACTGAAATTGCTTTCACCGCATATAATAATCAAACAATCTCATGAGTTAATTTTGAAGCTGAATTAGATTCTAAATATATAAAAAAGAATGAGTTAATACTCATGCTATCAAAATTTACTTGTCCACTAAACTAAACATAAAAATCTATTTTTATTTGTCTAGCTTGGAAAACCAATGGATAATTTATCATTTTATACCTATTTTACCTTTCTTATTAAATATTATTTATTTTCAATTTATTTTCAAGCACATAATAAATAGGAATGATATAGTAAAATTATCATATTATTTATTATCTTTTAAGGAGGGTGCCAAGTCAAGCACAAGTAAATTTGGACGGACGGAGTACATTTAAACTCAGATAGTGAATGTACGTACAATCACCTCATTTTTCGTTTGCTCCGCCAATCTACAATTTATTGTCACGCAAAAGTCGCAAGCTATAGTCTTCCCACATCATTATGCCGTTTACGTACTTGGAAAACCATGTTGAATGCATGTCTCGGTACTCTACCCCGTGCTTCCGTTTCAGTAACTTGCATGTACCCCTTTCATCACATGCACTTTTTTAATAAGCTAAATTGGAAACCTGACAAAATCTCAGTATCTTTGTTTGGTGTTTGAGCCTTTTCAACGATCGTTCATGTGTCACTTCGTATCAGTCCCATTATTTGACGTCACTAAAGATCTCCAAGCAGTCAGTCTTAGAAACAGTAATATGTTAAACAATTACTCTTTCCGATTCAATTTAGATGAACTAGTTTGATTCGGCACGGAATTTAAAAAAAATTATAGTTTTAAAAGTTTAAGGGTTAAAATTTTATGGAATCATGATATTTATGTATTTATAAAAGTTTCTCATTAAAGATAAAATGAGAAAAAAATAAAGAGTTTAAAGTTACATTATTTTCAATTATAAAAATGTGTCATTCTTTTTTGAATTCACTAACAAAAAAAGTGTGTCATCTAAATTGAAACAGGGGGAGTAGTATATATTGCGGATCTGACTTAAGAACGCGAGCTTTCTCCGTTCAATTTTTATGATATTATTTGATTAGATACAAAATTTAATTATTTAAAAAAATAATTACCTTTAAAATTTAGTATAATTTTAATTATTTCATGATATTTATACAGCTATAAAATTATACCTGTAAATATAAATATAAAGTTAAAAGTGTTTACCCTTAAAATTGGATAACAATTAAACTTATAATGTGGTTTTAAGGACACGTGATTTCACCCAATATCAATTGATAAATGTAAAGATTAGAAATAGAAATTAACAATAGGATAAAGCAAACCAGTATTGAATGAAATTCAGCCCTCGAGCTTGAATACCCTCGAATTGATTTGTGCAAGAGAAGTTAAAATATAACAAGTTTATGAACAAGAATATGAACTAAAGAAAAGGCGCTATATTGCTTTTTATATCTCAGAGTGTAAGGTAATTACAAATTGATTAGGACCCTCTTTTTATAGTAGAGGAATCCTATCTATGGTAGAATTCTAATTACGGAAGTGAATCCCATGATTAGAAAAACAGCCGCTCTTGATTTGATCTGTTCCGAGATTTACGCCATGATCTTCGACCAGTCACGGATATCTCGCCTTTCTGTATTGTCCTTTGCTCGATGTCTGTCTTATTTGGTCTCGATCGCTATCAGCCTCGATTTCGATAGGTACCTCGGCCCTCGAACTCGATACCTTGTCCCCGTGCTTTGGTCTGATCCACTGCGGCACCGATATTTGATGCAATTCCCTAGCCTCAATCAAATAGTAAAATTGGGTAGGCCCGATTTTAACCGTATACAAAAAGTTAAAAATATACCACTCTTTTTAAAGCAGGCTAATAAAAAACAATTGAGTAGAAAGATTGTTAACTTTTACTACTTACAAAACTTGTTTTTACACACATAAGGTACAAAACGGAAACTATGGTCTTTTGGCTCCTCAAAGCCCACGTTGAATCTGCAATTGGAAAAATCTTCCTCACTACATACACAAGCCAATAAAATAGAGAATATGTGCAAAATGCTTTATTTAACTGTACTGAACATCATTTTTTTCACTTGATGTATAAAATAAAATTCCAAGAAAAGAAAAATATCTATAATAACTTCTAACTAATATTTGTACTTCAGAAAACATAGAGGAGTAACATCATATATCGTTCTTAAAACGTAAAATATAATACTTCTTCCTATTTACTTGGTACTTTTGCTAAAATAGTTGTTCCAAAAATACTTATCATTTTAGAAAGAAAAAAAAATTAAATATTCTCTTTGTTGCTCTAATAAATGTTTTAGAAATAGGTAATAAGATTTGAGAAATCAAAGAATAAAAAAGCAATCAAGTAACTCTAATACTAATGTTCTTAAAGGGAGTGCAAAAGGCTAAAATGACAATTAAATGGGATATGAGGGATATAGCAAGGATACCGAACATAAAAACTATTCAAACTCACTTCAATTTATGAATTATGCTAATTGTAGAGTTAAATTAAGTAAATTTAATGCATCCATCGAGTTCTGGCCAGGTTTTTATTGCTCCCCTATATTATGAGCTGTTCATTGGAGTGAAACGTGCACTCTATAAATATGGTTCCCCAACATACAATCTCCCACCATTATTGAGGAGTAGTACACGACTGACATCAAATTCACAACTATGGCTTCTAATTACTATTTTTTTCACACTCTCACCACTCTACTCTTTACTCCATTAGTTCTTGGCACACTCTGTGTCATTTTCCCCTTCTTTTGCATCTTTAGGATCGTGCTTTTTCTGTATCGGCTTGTGGTAAGTGAGAACATGAAAGGCAAAGTTGTTCTCATCACTGGCGCTTCATCAGGAATTGGGGAGGTTCGTCGTCCTATTAGTTTTTCTTTCTTTTTTCCTTTTTTTAAGTTTAAAAAATCCCATTAGACATAATCTTTACATGTATGGTGTTTTATATGTTGGGAAGTATGTAATATTTTTAAGGGGAAAAAAACATTTCTGTTAAGAAAAGGTTCCGAATTTTTGAAAAAATATGTTTTATACGTTGTAAACAAGAATGTTGTTCCTTATCCAAGACTTCGCCGGAATATTTCATTATGTAGATTACTAAATTCTTTTTAATGCATATAAACTAAAATTCCCTTGACTTTTTCAGTATATTTAATATTTTAATTATTTTTTAATATATACTATATATTAAAGAAAAATTAACCCAAATGGCCGACCACCCTATCACTAAAAATAGTCGGTAAATATATAATATATGCATAATTTATGTATTACATCTGTATAATTATGTATAATTAATGTATAATTTATGTATATTGATAGAAAAAATAAAGAATTAATATGGCGGGCTATTTGGGTAAAGATCCCTATATTAAACTTAATTCGATATTTTTTCTTCTTACGAATACAATTTTAGAAAATTATATTTGTGGATTAATAGGAATTGGCTTATGAGTATGCAAGAAGAGGTTCTTCAATAGTAATAGTGGCGAGAAGGGAGGAGCAGCTTCGAAAAGTAGCGGAGAAGGCAAGGAGCTTAGGGTCTCCGGATGTGCTTTCTATAAGAGCTGATGTATCCAACGTTGACGACTGCAAGCGACTTGTAGATCAAACTGTCAATCATTTCGGTCGTTGTAATTAGCTATTCTGATTTCCAATTTATTAGCATGTATTAAGCTTTGTGACAGGGACGGCTCAACAGATCTCGTGGCATAAGGCAAAACCATATTGAGAAGCTCTTAAATTTATTTATAAAATTTGTACATTAACAGGAAATTTTGCTTTCTAAATAACAAATTAATCATTTAAGACAAAAAATAGCGAGTTTCAAACAAAAAATATAGGAAGAAGAGCACAAAGAATAAAGTGGTAGATTATCGAATGTTGAGGTTGGAAACTCAAAATGAAAATTTTGATTTTCATAATAACAATAATAGTGAAAGTAGTAGTAGCAGCAATAATAATAGTTTACAGTAAATTTGGGGTCTTCAAATTTTGGGAGCCCAAGGCAACGGCCTCATTGGCCTAGCCTTAGGGCCGCCCCTACTTATTGATCTTGGTACATAAATTTACATGTTATTGTAGGTCAAATAGTGTAAAATTACTTGCACTATCATTTCACAGACATAAACTCTAGTATTAAAATAAGAAGGGGAGATTAAAGTAGACTAATAGAGTAAAATTCTTGACATTGTAAAAGTTAAATCCGAATAGGAAGTGTATAGTCTTGTGATATTTTCTATTGCCATAATTAACTACGTACTCACGGTAAAAGAAGTTAAAAATTACATGCATGCAGTGGATCATCTCGTCAACAATGCTGGAATATCCTCTGTGTGCTCTATCAATGATGTGACGGACATTACGAAGTATACATCTGTTATGGTAATGTTTACGTAGGCATCATTTCAAAATTAATACCCCCTCCGTTACATATTAAATGAGATAGTTTGACTCGACACGGAGTTTAAGAAAAAAGAAGAAGACTTTAGGAACTTGTGGTCTTAAAAACTTAAGGAGTAAAAAGTTTGTGGAACCATGATATTTGTGTGGTTATAAAAGTTTCTCGTTAAGGGTAAACGGGTAAAATGAAAGAGTTTAAAGTTTAATTATTTCCAAATTTAGAAATATGTCATTTATTTTGGAACAGACTAAAAAGGAAAGTACCTCATTTAATATGAAACGGAGGGAGTAGTAGTTCTATTCTATAAATAAAAAGATAGAACTAATTTTCGTAACTATTTTTTTGCCTATTGTTGCATGATATGGTTTGGGATAAAAGGATATCAACTTCTGGGGATCTGTTTATCCAACTTACTTTGCAATTCCTCATCTGAAGAAGACAAGAGGCAAGGTGTTTGTCAATTCTTCATCCGTGGCAATTTTGCACCCACCATCTTTAAGCTTCTATACTGTAAGAAACTACTTTTAGTTTTATTTAATTTATTCCCCTTAATTAATTAATTAATTAATTAATTCTTCTCTTATATTAATTATATATTGTTGTTATGTTAATTAATTGTATTGGCTTTGCAGGCGAGTAAAGCTGCTTTAATAGGCTTTTACGAGACTATGAGACTTGAATTGGCTCCGGAAATCTCAATTACCATTGCAACGTTAGGATTTACTGATTCAGAAATAATACGAGGAAAGCACCTAAAAGATGGGGTCTTGCAAGTTGAATCAGAATTAGCTAATGTAAGATAACCAACCATTAATTTCACTGTTTATTTTCTCAATTTATATGGCCGTTTAGTTGGTTAACAACTTGAAGGATGGGCTTACAATCCCTGTTACTCCCTCCGTTCTAATTTATGTGAACCTGTTTGATTGGACTCAGAGTTTAACAAAAAATAAAGATTTTTGAAATTTATTGTCCTAAACAAGTCAAAGAGGGGCCCAGAGTATTTGTGTAATTAAAAAGGCTTCTCATTAATGGTACAATTGTAAGTTTAAACTAAATTGTTACCAAATTTAGAAAGGGGTCATTCTTTTTAGAACGGACTGAAAAGAAAATAGGTTCATATAAACCGAAAAGGGGTATTTAGTTACCTATTTTTCTGTTATTGAAAATTACTCTGGTGGATTAGCCTATCTATTCTAATCCCCTCTAAAGTTGAACTTCCATAACACTTTCACATCACCTAATAAAAGATAATTGCAAGTAATTCACAAAAGTGGAATAAGATGGAGAATAAAATAAAAATGTACTTTTTCTATTTCTATTTACTTGTCATGTTAGCTTTTGTACATTCTTTATAATAGTAAATATTATTTGACTTAGTTACCCTTATTTATTTTTTGATCTCTTACTAGTAAATGTTCACTCTATTTATTCTAAAATGATAAATATTTGAAACATAATGTAAGAATTCTCTATTTTATTAGTGTGTATAAATTAAATCTTCTCCTCTAATCATGATCAAGGACCAAAAGAGAAGAATGTTCCACTCATGACCTATTTTGGAAATAATACTCATACACGAGTTAAGTAATCTTGATCATGAAATATTTATTACAGTATTGACTTATGAACTTGTACCTTTCACATCGCCCACAGCAAGGCTTTTTATCCTTTTTCCCAGTAACCTTAGTGAAATTAATAAATGTTCAAGGGTGCTAGTATTGTACAGTTGAGTTTCATTAATTATTAACTTATGTTTCTTGAATGACGCGTCTCAATCAGGAGAATTAAGCCCCACAGAAACCAATTCAGCTAGCGTCTTTGTCAATAAGCCTACTATCTAGTAGTACATGCACAACTCTGTCTATATAATATAGGTAAACTGACCACCAAAAGTTTCAAATTTTCCTTCCAGATTCATAATTTACTAATGCATTGACGTCTGATTATCAATTTTCCCACAGTCTAACAATTCAATGTTACTTAAGTTATAATCATAAAGAATTTTTAGGCAAGCAGTAAAAATTTAAGTTTATTACTAATCAGTGTTCAAATCGTATCTATTTATATTTGCAGAATGTTGTTGTTCTCCCAGTTATCAGTTCTAGTGACTGTGCAAAATCAATTGTAAGTGCAATATGCCGGAAAAAGAGATATATTACGGAGCCAAAATATTTTTGGGTGCTGTTTTTCGCGAAAACTGCGTGCCCTCAAGCGTTTGAATGGTATTATCGTACATTTATGTTGAAGTTGTGTACCGGTGGTTTACAATCACAAGGCAAGAAAGCATAAAGAAGTGAAAAAAGAATAGAGTGGATATGTAGCTGATGTTCTTGCTCTTATTATTATGTTAAGTAGCTGGGTTAGCTTGCGACTATATTTATGTTACTGTAAACTTTTCTACGAAGATTTTACTCTTTTTATCATGATCTAGAGTGAACCCTTACTAATGTCGAGAAATAGTTCTAAGAACCTCTGCACATGATTATGTAAAATTATGGGGGGTAATGGAATTTTTCTTGAGCTGTCTATTTTTCTTTTTTTATTTTTGGCTGTGAATTGGATGGCGTGCACATAAATTTGCCTGAAGAGTAAAAAATACTTCCTCTGTTCGAGTTTATGTGAATCTATTTCTTTTTTGGTTCGTTTAAAAAACAATGACCCTGGAAACAATTTAGCTTAAACTTATAATTTTACCCTTAATGAGAAGTTTTGATAACTACACATATATTTTGAGTCCCTTTTTTACTTGTTTAGGATCAAAAATTTCAAAAATCTTCATTTTTTCTTAAACTCCGTATCCAATTAAACATGTTAACATAAATTGAAACGAAGGAGTATTAGTGTGTGGGGTTGTTTGGTCAATATATGGTTAGTTT